CTAAAGAACAGATCGGAAAACTGGTTGTCCCTAACGGGTGGTCATCAGAACACGGACCCCATGAGGACGGATGCAGTTATAATCAGGAAATTGTATGGGATTTGTACACAAATTACGTGAAAGCGGCCGACATTTTGGGAGTGGACAAGGAGTTCAGGGATCGCATCGCCGGTCAGAGGGATAAGCTGTTATGGCCAGGGATTGGATCGTTCGGACAACTGATGGAATGGATGGAAGAACAGCCGGGCGAGAAGACCGACCATCACAGACATACATCCCATTTGTTTGGCTTATACCCGGGACATCAATTCACTGTAGAGACTACATCCAATTTGACCAAAGCTGCCTCGGTATTTATATACAATTTTAAAGCAAATTTGTACACATGCCCCATGTCAATTAGTTTGATTCACTCCATTACCCTTAACTTAATTTATGTTAGGGTATGTTATAATTGAAAATAACCTAGGATACGGTTTATTGCAATGAGTCTAATATAATTCTTTTGTGATATACTAGACTCTAGTAACTTGAGCAAATTACTGTACTGTACTTTAGAGTGAGTCCATGTTTATATCCCATACATTATTAACTATATTTTTATGGGTTAAACATCATAAATAGGTATCCCTTGAGCACAGAGGTATAGACCCATCGTATGAAGTGAAGGAGTGGTCATTCGCGTGGCGCACAGCCCTATACGCCCGGCTCAAGGATGCCGAGAACGCCCACCTCTTGTTCCGCCAGTTATTTGCCGATCGTAATACCTGTCCCAATATGTTTGGATTACACCCTCCGATGCAAATCGACGGCAACTTCGGTATCACTGCAGCCGTCGCCGAAATGCTAGTCCAAAGTCACGCCGACTTTGTGGAGGTATTGCCGGCGCTGCCGAAGGACTGGAAGACCGGACACGTGAAGGGCCTGAGAGCCAGAGGCGGACATCAGTTGGATATCTATTGGGAAAATAATAGCCTGAAGTCTGTTCTCATTAAAAGTATTATCGCCGGCGATCTTAAAGTGAAATCCGGAAATACTGTCAAATCGGTTAAAGTGACTCCGAGTAAACCAATTAATTTGGACCACAATCTGAATCCAATTTCTTAGAGAACATGTCATTTAATATTTAATTTTTAAACTTGAAATAAAAGTTTCATTAATAGTTATAAAGTTGCCTAAAAATAATTTCAATTTTTATGGTTATAATTTGTAGACAACCCTGCTCAAATGTTTGCAAACTCCCTGTTAAACCAAACAGTCGCCGATAACGTTAGTCGCGGTTCGCAATCGACTCCTAGATATGTATTTAGATGAAATTTTATTAGCTAGGTCACATTAAACTACGACAAACATTTATAAATTTTAACTAAACAAGTCTA